CTGAACGTATGTCCTCTTGATATGTGTAACAGTTTGTAACTGACCGAATATACCTTTTGTATTCTGATAATCCTCTCGATAAGATCTGTTAGGTTTACATGCATATTCTATGTATTAATAAATGTATCCTCGTGTATTAGTACCTGTGTGTGCGCGTTGTTTGAGTTGTCACATGGTTGGACTCTAAAGCCATCAAAAGAATCAACTTTGTGATTTACTGCTACAATTAATAATTCTCAGTAAATGCCCAAACCCTACAGAACTGGTGCGTTCAGAGAGCCACTACATTTAATTTTGCTACGGCTATGATTACATATTTGGCGTCCCTGAGCCGGTTTTCCTACATGCCACAGGGGAGCAAGTGCAGTTCCTGTGCAAACACCCATCAAGAGAACCTGGCTGACACACTGTCTCCTCAGAGCTGTAACCAGCCAGGAGTTCAATTCATCAGGTCACAATTGAACTAAAGTATATCCAAAGTGATTCATTTACATGTGTGCACCCATGAAATAAATCACATACAAAAGCACCAATTTAGTCTTTGAGAGCCAGAATGACAGCCAGTCAAGTGCACGTCAGTGCCTCACCCAATCAAGGAGCAAACCCAAAAGAGACTAGACAAATCCAAGTTACACCTAATTTCTAAATGGATGGCATGTTAGCAATGAGGTCCAAGAGTTTAACTCTAAGCCTACAACAAAAGTACCTTTTCCTCCATTATAACATTTTTTGCAAATGATGGGGTCATTTGATCAAATTTGGACTAAGCAACATGAAAGATACCCAAATGTGAAACTCACACACCGATACCAAATGGTTAGAGAGATTTAAAATTTGGTTTGGATTAGGTTAGACAGAAGAGTTGGTACAGTGTCCTCCTAGACAATAACTGCAACTGCTCCAAGATTCATGCATCCAGGAAATTTAAGGACAGCTTGCAGCATGTCTTAGCTCTCCCATTTAAAGTGCAGAGCTTCAATACTCACAGTAAGGCATCAACAGGTCACGCAGCTGGCATCCTTTCAGCCAGTCCATGAGCTTCCTCAAACAGGATTCTCCGGGCCTGTCACTCCACACCGTGCATACAGCTGGCCAGGGACTGGGAAGCAAATCACTGCTGACCAAATGCACAAAGTTTGACTTGCACCTCCCCTCTACTTGCCTTCAAACTCACCATTACCTTGGCCACATGGATGCACTGATTGGGTTAGGATCAATAATCAAATCAGCATTGAAGTTGCAGGTTAAAGGTTAGGGTCAGGAATTTCAGGTAATGGGATGACTGGTTTACAGTCTACAGTATGCAGAGTCCTGACAATTTCAGCTGATGGGGGGGGGGGGGAGTGAGCAGATGCATCACCTCAGCTTTATCCATCCAATTAGTTACCTCTTCTTAGACCTGGAGCACATGCAGTGATCAACACCCACTCCTACAAACTGACCTTGGTAGCTCTGTGATGGACAGTCATGCAATTACTGAAGTCACCTTTCAGCTATAGTTCCTCCATTGACACAGCAGACTTCCAGGGAAGATCTTGTTGTAATACGCCATGGTTGTCACCAGCAAAGTTTAATTTACAAAGTTCAGTGCATCCATCTCAAAACAAATTGACTCAAGTCCACCTTGAACCTTGACTGATCAGAGCCTATTCTTAAAACATTGGCCTCTTACTGGCCCGAATAAAGGAAACCCAAATTCCTTGCACTGTTCATCCAAGATACAGATGCTCTTGCTACAAGCAGGTGACAGGATACCGACTGAAACAGGTTAAAACATTTATCAAAAGCAAGAACATTTGTAAAACAAAGCTAACATTCTCTAGCTTCGCTTATTCCATTCCCCTATAATCCAGAAAGAAGCTGTTGACAATTCCATTTACAGTGCTTTTTCATGTGATTGAATATACATCCTAAGTACATTTAAAAACAAAAAGTCTCATTAAAACACTAAATGTCATCCACTATATTTACTGCAGAACCAGCTATTTTTCCTTAATCTAAAAGGTTTTTCAGCTTAATGTAAAACCAGATTTACAACTTTTCCAAAAAAGTCACCTGCCACAGTAGGTGACCAAAAATTGATAGACCACTGTAAAAGGATTAAAGGCTTCCGTCAGACCAGGAAGATTACAGCTTGTATAAAATCCAAATCAAACCACTTATAAAACTAAATTCCACATTGCAAAGTGACTAGACACGCCTACAAATGTGTTCTAAAAGATCGAGATCCACAGTAGTAAGAAAGACCAAAGCACTAATCATGTTCAGCACCAAAACAGCTGCAGCCCAGACTGAAAAGGTTTCAGAGCTTAAACATTCAGAACACTTGCAACTCAAAAGCACAAATAACACTCAACCTAGTGATAGGCCACAACCAATGAAACCTTTCAGCCACTCCATGCATTCTATGAACAGAGAGATTACAGCCTGTACACATACAGATCAAACCCTTCATAAAAGCAAGTCTCACGTCCACAATGACTAGAAACACCTCTAAAAATTCAACAGCCACCTACCTGTTAACACCTTTACCACCACAGCTCCTGTGTATTGACTGTACAGGATACTTAAACTGAATGAAACAAAACCACAAAACTCCAAACCTATTAATATACCACTGTAAAAGGATTAACAGATCACTAAAACAAAACACTTGATTTTCATCTAATAAAAGCTCAGGGCTGCAGTAAATGTGATTATACTGGCTTACAAA